GCGGTTCGATTCCAAGTCAGGGCACATACCTGAGTTGCAGTTAGATCCCTGGTTGAGGTGGGTGTGGGAAATGGCCTAATGATGTCTGTCTGTTTCTCTCTCCCTTGCTTTCTCCCTTCCTCTCTCTAAAAAAAAATCAAAACAAAATGTAGGAAAAAATAATTTTTTAAGAAAATGAGAGAGAGAGAGAGAGAGAGAGAGAGAGAGAGAGAGAGAGAGAGAGAGAGAGAAGAGAGAGAGACTCGACAGTCTTAAGTTCCTCGCCTTTCCTTTTTAACTCAGAAGTATGGCATCTGTCTCCCTCCATGAGCCACACTTGCCAGCCTTTCTTCCTGTCTCTCTGGTCACTTCTTCTTGGGATCCTTTGCTGGCTCCTCTTCTTCTGCTCACCCTGTAAGTCTTACATTTATTCGGGATTCTGTCTTAGACCTGTTGCTCTTTACACTGCTTGGTAAATCCTTTCCTGGGAGCTTCAATGACCACCTATATGCTGGAGATCCCTATCTGCCCAAGCCTTTCTCTCCAGCTTCCGTTCCAAATATCCAATTGCTTCCTTGGCATCTGAACCCACGTGGAAGTCTCAAAGGCACCTTGGAGCAATATTTCCAAGAAAGAACTGATGATCCTCCTATCACCTCTTCCTTCTACTGTGTTTCCTGTCTCAAAAAATAGCTCTCTCATTCATCCTTCTTCCTGAGCCAGATATCTAGAAGTCATCTTTGACACATTCCTTTGACATCATCCAGGACATATCTAATCAATCACCAATCCTACAGATTTTATCCCCTCAGTATCTTTGGAATCTAACTTCTTTCTGTTTTTCTCACCTCCTTCATCAGGTCTCCATCATTTCTCAGAAAGATTTCAGAAAGCTCATAATCCTTCTCCTAGCCTGCAGCCATAAATGATTTTCTAAAAATACAAATCTGACCATGCTGTTGCCCTGCTTAAAAATTTTCAGTAGTTTCTTATAGTCCTCAGGAGAAAGCCAAAATTCCTCAATTTAGCCCATAAGGAAGGGTGAAAATCAATATATTTTTTTTAGCTGGGAAGGCACAGACATTGACCCCAGTTAGAAAGGATGTCTTGTCAGCTGGTTCACTTGACCAGTGTGTGCTAAATAAAACTTGCCATTAGAGCCCCATGGTATTGTCCTCTGCAGTCTCATCTAATGCCACTATTCCTCTAAGGTCACACTAGCCTTGTTTTGATCCTCAGAATGCATCATCAAAAATGCAGTTACCTTTGCCTGGAAGACTCTTTCTGGTGGCCCCACCATCAACCCACTCCATCCCGAAGCTGGAGGCCTTGGCCTGTGTCAGCAGAAGCATCTGTTGAGGGAATCTAGTCTGGATCACAGTTCACTATTATTAATGAACTCTGTCTACTTAGGCACAAGAACACAGAGCCCCAATAAGGTCAGTAAATGTTCAGAGGAGAGAACTGACTCTTGAGCTTTTATGAGGACAAAGTAAAGAAAAGGGGGATAAATTCTTTATTTAGTCCCCAACTAAACTAGTATCTCTCCTGCTAACTGAAATACAAATAACCTTTCCCACCTCCATTAGACCTTCTGACCCTAGAGTCAAGCCTGTCAGATATTCAAATAGTTGATGGCTTTTTAATTCAGTTAATATCTTTGCTTCCGTTCAGCCCTGAGCTTTGGTGAGCTGTTCTTAGAAAATAGAGGGTTTTTTTTTTTTTTTTGATGGTGGTGGAAGTGAGGGAGGGGGTTGGTGATGGGGAGATGAAGGGGGTTGTGGTGGTGAAGAGTAATTCTTTGGAAGGCAAGTTAGGCATGGAGAGGACTCTGGATAGCCAGAAGTCATTTAAACTCCAAAGCAGTGGCCTCAAATTTGACTGCAGATTAGAATTACGAGGGGATCTTTTAGAATTGCCATTGCAAGGGGTCTACTACAGATCTATTAAATCAAAATACCTGAGGTGGGGAGAGAGTTTGGGCATAAATATTCTTATAAAGCTCATCAAATGACTCTTATCAAGTATGTGCAATCAGAGTTGAGAACCCCACCAGGTACAGGAGAGGGAATGCTATGGGATGAGAAAAAAGTGCAGGCATGTGTGAAATATTTCTTACTCCAGCTTGCTCTGCATTATAAGCACACACTACAGAGATGGGGGTTAGAAGAACAGAGTGGTGTATTTAAAGAGAGGCATGAATCTTGTGGGTTAGGTGTTATCTAGAAAAGGTAAAAAGGTAAAATGTATAATTTTACATTATGAATAGTGAACTGAGATCCAAATTAGATTCCCTCAACTTGAGCAATAATGCCAAGTGTGATGGAAGTACAGACTGCTGTGGTTTTTCTGTACTGCAGTTTGATACTACACAGTTCAATTAAGTATCCCTAATAACCTATAAAACAGCAAGTATGATTTTAGATATATATTCTCAAAGATAGTCTCTCAGGGGAGGTGATTGCTCACCACAGTGTTGTTGGTGGTGATTGGGAACTGAAGGCTTTGCTGAGGGACATCCCCTTTCTCCCCGTGAATTTCATGCATGGGGCCTCTAGTGTTGGATATAAAAGGCTTGAAAATCAAGGCAACTTATATTTGGACTTCTCAGTTTGCCTGACCATGAGAGGTCAGTTTTTAAGAAAGAGGATTTATCCTTTCTGTACCAGCCCCCGCCAGCTCAGTTTCAATTCATATGTATAGGAACTGTCTATCTGGTTGGGCTTTGAAACAAAAACTGGTGTTTGCTTTACTAATCCTGGTGTTTGACCTCAACATGGCTGGGCAAAGTGAGGACTGTCACTGACTGCCAGCCTCATCAGGCAATATTTTCATACTCCTCTCAGAAAATAGAAACAATATCCCTGACAGATGGTCCTCCCATCTCTGTTTTCAGGGGTGGGGCAGTCCATTCCTTTGTCAGGAAAGATCTGATTACTAGAAAACTCAGAGTCTGAGTCCTATGCCATTGCAGTATGATTCAGTGAAAATACACAGGGGAATCAAGCAAAATTGAGTTAGAATCTTAACCATGTAATTTGCTGCATGACTTGAGCAAGTTATCATCTATCTATATTATTCATTTAATCTGTATATTACAGATAATACCTGTTTTACATAATTACTATGAATGTTAGATATTATTAATGTAAAATGTCTAGCACAGTGCCTGGCATAAAGAGTTAATAAAGTGATAGGTGTTATGATTGTGATCATAATTATTATCCCACCCATTGGTCTTACTTTGCCTTGTGGTGTTACGAATATATGCCTACCTTTCAATACTTTCAAATACTTGAATTAGCTGTCATGTTATTTCTAAGTGTTCTTTTTTGTTTTCAGAGTAATCATCCACCAATATTTTCTCTCTTGGTTATCCTGCCCTGGCTCTGCTCCTATATATGATATTTGTAGAACATGGTGCCCATAAATGAACAAAGTACCACAGGTGTGGTCTGAGTATTTCAAAACAGAGTAAGACCATAAGCCTCTCTTCTCCAGACATCATTCTTTAAGCTGCCTAGGACTCCTTTAGCTTTTTAGGCAACCATGTCCATACTGACTTAGTTCTATGAACATCTCCAGGTAGTTTTCACATGAATGAGTTTTAAGTCTTCCCCATTTTGCACTTGTATAGGATTATTATTTTGCTTCAAGAGTAAACTTTTTATTAACTGAAAGTCTATTATATAGTAGGTATAGATCTGAGTTCTGTGGACATAGGGATGATGACTAGGATAAAGTATAACCATACTAGAAATGTAGGCTCCACAAGACTGGGTCTATCATGTTCACTGATGAATCTCATTTCTTGGGATGATGGCTGCACAAGATTTTGTGGTTACTGTTGTTGAATGAGCACATAAAATAGTTTACACTGAATTTTTTTCTTCGAAGCAAAATGGCATTTCCCCAATTCACTTATTTAAAAAATTCAGATATTTTGTACAAGCCTATCACTTTCAGCCCAAATGGTAGGTTTTTTTGTTTGTTTGTTTGTTTGATTGTTTGTTTTGTTTTCCCAATAGGGTATACCAAATTTTCAAAATAAACTTGTATTGTCCCTTTCAAGGCCAAACTAAATACTTACATACTTTATTTGCTGATGGCCATTATAGTCCACGATTGAAAGCCTTTGATAACTATTTGACCTTTATTGCAAGGCTTACATCTCAGGGTTAGAAGCAGTAAGCCAATTTTCTGAGTACCAAACACTCAAGAATTTTCAGAACAGAGTTCTACCGGGCCCTGACTTGCTGTGTGTGTGTGTGGGGGGGGGGGGGGGGAGAGGAGGGGAAGAGGGAGGGGAGTCGAAGGGGGGGCGAGATAAGATCTTTGGGAGAAATGTGGGGAGATAGCTTAGGAGGACCTTGAAATTCTGCATTGGTCTGTTAACTGCTGCCAGGCGCTCCTAGGCCCAGCGTTTCTGGGTTGAAATTCATCCCGCAGACATCAGAGATATGAAATTTGGGGGTATATCCAGTTCTCTAAACCCACAATTACGGAGATCCTAGAAACTCTAGATCCTCTCACAGTTTTTTTCCACTATTCGGGCTACAGGTGAGGCACTGGTCGCCATCTTGCTACCAAATACCAGGCAAGCCGTCCCTGGCGTCGCTCGGTAACTAAGGAGACACCCTTGCCCCTCCCACTCTCCAGCCCGTTAGAGGCTGTAAACTACGATTCCCATCAGCCGGGTACCTCGAACTGCGGGCGAGATGTCTGCATTTGGCTCGCCGGCGCCGCGCCCCCCGCCGCGGTGCACCGCGGGAGTTGCAGTTCGCACGGTGGCCGCGCATTTCGCTGCGGGAAGCTCCAGAACTACAACTCCAGTGAGCCCGCGCGCTCACGAAGGCGCACGCCGCAGCCGAGCCTCCCCGGCCCCCCTCCGGCGGGTGCCAGCGAGGTGAGAGAGGGCGGGGGGAAGGCAGAGGAGGCGGGATCTGGGCGCTGCGTTGGCTGCGGTCTGGCATCCAGGGGGCGGCCCTGGCGGAGTGCAGACCCGGGGGCCCTCGGAGATTATGGACCCGGCCGAGGCGGTGCTGCAGGAGAAAGCGCTCAAGTTTATGGTGAGGAGAAGGTGCAGGCTGAGGGGGGTCGGGGGAGGCTGTGGCGTTGGCGCCGTCGCTGAGAGGCTCGGGGCCTGGGCCGCCCGGTCCGCCAGAGGGAGGGGGCGCAGGGGCTCTGGGCCGAGGCCAGCGGCGGGGGCTGCTGAAGGGACGGGACCGGAGCTCCAACTGGGAGGCGGGAGCGGGTGCGGAGAGGCCCCGGGGTGGGGGCAGCAGCTCCGCCATCTTGTGGATGAGGGGCCCGTGACAGCGGGGGATTATCCAGGGAGGGGGCTCCGGGCGGCGCGCGGGGCCCTGGAGGGGAAGGGGCGTGGGGACAGTTACTGCGGAGCGGAGGGAGCCCGGAGGAGAGGCGCGGTGTGGCCGCTGGCAGGGCCTTCCCAGTGTTAGGGTTACGGGTAAGGCGGGGAGCAGGGCGCCTTCAGAGTGAGGAAGGGGAGCCCGGGAGGGGGGTGGAGGGGGGAGATGTTAGAGGGAGGGACACCGGCGGGGCTGTCTGTAGTTGGGTCTAAGGGTGGAGGAGAGAGCCAGGGCTGGTGGGAGCATTGTGGATTTTGTAAAATGAGGGGATTGAGATAGCTCTTTACCTTCCAGATTAAAATACCCCAGGTTGGCCAAACTAATGTTGACAAACTCTGGAAAGAAAGAGGCCTCCCTTAGGAGAATAAGGACTGGGGAGTGGGATCTAGGGCTGTGGTGACAGCCCCTGGGAAAAGGAAGAGGGTGTTGACTCTGAGCGGGAATTACCAATGTCAGGAAAATGTATCCACACTCTTACCTTGAAAAGAGAGGGTGGGTAGATGTTGTAAGGATGAGGTTGAACTGGCCAGGGAAACTGGCTACATGAGATTGGGGAAAAAAAAAAAAAAAAAATGAATATCCAAGAGGGTAGAACAACACAAAAGTTGGTGCTAACCTAGAGATAGCGAAATGTGGGGGCCGGGTACTGTGTCACTTTCTGGGAAAGGAAAGGACACGGAGATGAGAATCACAAGACCTGCAAGGAGTGATGAGATCAGTGGAGAAATGCAGGAGATAAGAGGGGTAGGTAATGGGAGATGCCAGGATCGGTGGTTGCTCCTAAGTTTTAGGTTGAAGCACCCTATGGGCTTACATTGAATTTTGTTGGGTGTGTTTCAATCCTTTGGAGCCTAGTGTGTCCACTTTGTATCTTGCTTTTCTCCTGTGCTTACCTTTGACAATTTTGTGTAGTCTGATATTTGATACTTTTAATCTGATGCTTCTTGTATATCCTAGGTGTAAAGCCAGACTTTGTGGTTACAGATAAAGAATGATGGGATGCATAGACTTCCATCTTAACAGGTGGCCTTAGGGACATGGATATTTTCGGTCAAGTCTTGCTTTTTTCAGAAGTAATTGTAACCTGTCACTCCAAATTTTATTTATTGATTTTTTATTATTTTTTGTTAATCCTCACCCGAGGATATGTTTTTCATTTATTTATTTATTTATTTATTTATTTATTTATTTATTTATTTATTTATTTTAGAGAAAGGGGAGGGAGGAAGGAAGAGAGGGAGGAGGGAGAGACAAAGAGAGAGAGAAAGAGAAAGAAACATCCATTCATTGCCTTCTGCATGTGCCCCACAGAGACTGGGATCAAACCTGCAACCCAGGTATATGCCCTTGACTAGGAATCAAACTCACAACCCCCATACTCGGGTTGATGACGCTCTAACCATTGAGAGCATCAGCCATGTCTCAAAATCTATTTTTGTTTTTTTTTCTTATTTTATGTCTTTGCCTGAAATATCAAAACAAATGTAAATAAACATGGACACCAACGTAATTGAATTTAGGCCCTATTTACAAGAATACATTTGCAGAGATTGGTCAAATTTACTAAAATTTGGTTTCATTTTGTATTAGTGGTTTAAAAACACATAACTAAAGTTTGAGTGTATCATTAACAAAATTTCATTTTGAAGAAGAGAATTCTTGAATTTCTTCCCAATGTTGACATCTAAAATATTAAGACAAGATTTTGAAATTTGTTTGTACTTTAGAAGTAAAAGGAAGATGCTTTATATCTATAGTGAACTTATAGATTTAAGTCAGAGAATCGGCAGTTGCTTATTTTTGTTTTCCTACTTAGAAGTTGACTTAATCCTAATCTTGACAATTGTGTCAGATTTATGGAATAGTATGATTTACAGATCATAAAGAGACACTACAAAATCATCTTTTTTACTCCCCATTAGACCTCAACCTGGGAAAATTTTCAACTACTGGATCTCTGCTTTGTACCAATGAGTTATGTTTCGATAATGGTCTCCTGATTGAGTTAAAGTGGACCTGGAGATGGCCATGTAGTAGTTTGCAGCTTTTAGAGCAACACACATTATTAGAATTTGATTCAGTTACTATGGGGAGAAGCTAATTTTTTTCTTTAATTTTAGTTACTTTCATTTTTGACCGCCTGTTTGAGAGAAGGCCAACTGGAAGAGGGTCACCAAGAATGACCTTAATAACTGAAGCAGAGAATACAGAATTAGAGATTTGGTATTCTTTTTCAGTTCAGTCACAGACTTATGAATGTAAGCTACAACTTGCCTATGATTCCACTTACCCTGCCATAACATGTCTGTTTACTAAGAGACAGTTTTTAAAAAAATTATTTTTATTGTTAAGAGCATTACAGATGTCGCCCATTTCTCCCCTTTTGTTCCCCTTCACCCCGCTCCTGCCTCACCCATTCCAGGCCTTCACTTCTTTGTTTGAACCCATGGGCTATGCATATATGCATATAAGTTCTTTGGTTAATCTCTTCCCGCCCTCCCTCCTTTCTATTTAGAATCAATTTTGAGATAGGAAGACATTTTATTTGTATATGCACCAAGTGACTAGAGCAGAGTACATACACATGGAAGGGCTATCCTTTTAATCAAGTTGAAAATTTTGTATAGAATTTGTCTTTGTTTTGGCCTTACCCTTCCCTTAATTGTAAATTATGAATCATAATTTTTGTATAGATGCCCTGGTTTCCATAGTTTAAGAAAATGTAATTTATTTAAAATGCCAAAACGAAATGGGTATTTTATGAAATGTTCTCATTACCACATTAATGTAGTGCTTCAATTAGGAATTTTACAATGAAATCTTATTAATGAGACTGGTAATTTAGAATTGATCATATGATCACAAATGATCTAGACTTAAAAGTTTACCCTTGGATTCTTGTGAAGAATAGTTTAACTTCTAGAAACAAATGATATTAAAGCAGTAGTTTACATTAAATAACCTATATACTTTCTTGGTCAACAAAGTTATAATTCCGCAGAAAAGATAAACGGGAATTGGAAGAGGACCTTAGAAGAGAAATGAATAATGATGGAGGGAATGTAGGCACCATTTTATTTTATTTTTATTATTTGATATGACACACACACACACACACACACACACACACACACACACACACGGATTTGTTATTCTACTCAATTATGCATTCATCAGTTGCTTCTTATATGTGCCCTGAACCTACAACCTTGGTGAATGGGGATGACATTAACCAACTGAGCTACCTGGTCAGGGCCAGTGCCATTGTACACACACACACACACACACACACACACACACACACACACACACACACACCCCAAAATGTATATACACTTTGAATGATTATAAAGTCAGTGTTTATTAACATATAGTTCATTTTCAAATTTAAAAGAACCTAAAGAGCCAAGACCGGTTTGGCTCAATGGATAGAGCGTCGGCTTGGGGACTGAAGGGTCCCGGGTTCGATTCCGGTCAAGGGCATGTACCTTGGTTGCGGGCATATCCCCAGTAGGGGGTGTGCAAGAGGCAGCTGATCGATGACTCTTTCTCATCGATGTTTCTAACTCTCTATCTCTCTCCCTTCCTCTCTGTACAAAACCAATAAAATATATTAAAAAAAAAAAAAAAAAAGAACCTAAAGAAATGAATAAATTGTCAATGCCTGTTTTTAAACTGATGACCATTTCGGTCCAGGCACTGCTGATAATGTGAAACAATGGAATCGCAAATATCAAGAGTCATTTCATTCAGTATTTGTGCACCCCCAATTTGTCTACTGTTGCCACTTTTGTGTTATATAAACTTTTATCTTTTATGTATCCCCATTAAAAAAAGTGGCATTTTAGGATAAATTTTCTTTGTTCAAAGCTTAGTTTGACTTGACTTCAAATTATTTCAAATCAGTTAAGCTAGAAAAGGAGTGAAAATTAAGTGCGTTATCAGCTGTTAAAGTATGCTTAAAGATATATATTGGAAAGATACCCTGAAGGATGAATTCAGAAAATGGATAGGATAAGCTAGTCCCAGAATCTTAGAACTGGGGAAACATTTGAAACTTGGGTGACATAATTCTATATGATAAAAGGGTATTATGCAAATAGACTGGATGTCAGAACGACTGAACAACCAACCAAAGCATAATATGCTAATGATATGCTAATGTTGCTCAACCGCTTGCTATGGCGTGCACTGACCACCAGGGGACAGATAGTCAACTGGTTGACCAATCGCTATGATGTGCACTGACCACCAGGGGGCAGATGCTCCAACTGGTAGATTAGCTTGCTACTGGGGGCTGGCAGATCGGGACTAGTGAGATGAGCTGGACATGCCCTGGAGCCCATCCATGGTCCCTCCCTGTCCCCATCGTGCACCAGTGGGGTCTCTTCTGGTTCATAGATCTATGCTCAACTGCACAGGACGGGCCAGTAATGTTCTTTAAAACAAAAGGATGCAGTCCAGAATGATGCATTGAATTGAGTTGTCATGGCTTTTTAATCTCCTTCAATTCTAGAACAGTTCCTTAATCTTTCTTTGACTTTCATGACTATGGCACTTTTAAAGAGTATAGGCTGGTTATTTTGTAAAGTGGTTCCTCAATTTTGATTTATTTGATAATATTTCATGGGTTAGATTCAGATTATGTATTATTGATTGAAATACCACAGAGGTAATGTGTGTTTTACTTATTGCCTCCT